ACTTCTGCAAAAATAGCTTGGCCGGCTCAGATCGCTTCTGCGATGCCTAGGACCGCACCTGCGTTCGCGCTTTTGCGCAACAGGCACCGCACCTTCGAAGACCCTCGCTTCTGCGTGTGTATTGTCGTTTCTGCGACCATCGCACCTGCAAGCCCTTTTTCCGCATGTGCGATCACACCAGAACTAGCAAATCTTCAGCAATTCTTCAACTTCGAACCTTGGTCCGTTAACCACCCGAAATCAACCCGAGGTCCCCGGGACCTCAACCAAACATACCAACAAATCTTATATCCCAATACGAACTTAGTTGAACTCTCAAATCACTTCAAACAACTTCAAAAATACGAACTACACACGGATTCAAGCCTAATGAACTTCGAAATTTTCAAATTCTACAAACGACGCCGAAACCTATCAAATCACGTCCGATTGACCTCAAATTTTGCACACAAGTCATATTCGACATTACAGACCTTCTCCAACTTTCGAAATCGGAATCCGACCCCGATATAAAAAAGTCACCCCCGATCAAACTTTCCAAAAATTTAACTTTCGTCATTTCAAGCCTAATTCCACTACGGACTTCCAAATAATTTTTCGGACACGCTCCTAAGTCCAAAATTACCATACGGACCTATTGAAATCGTCAGAATTCAAATCCGAGGTCGTTAACATATAAGTCAACATGCGGTCAACTTTTCCAACTTAAGTTTTCAATTATGAGACTTAGTGTCATTTCTCTCCGAAATCCTTTCGGACCTGAATCAAATTACCCCAGTAAGTCATATAACAACTGTAAAGCATAAAGTGAGCAGTAAATGAGGGAACGAGGTTGTAATACTCGAAACGATCGGCCGGGTCGTTACATACGCGCATGTATTCACATGTATTCGCACTGCTGTATTCATGAATACAGCAGCAAAAAATACCTAAAATCAGGGCTGTCCAGCAGTACGCGCATGTATTCACGCCATGTACTCATGAATACACTAACGACAATTATCTTAAAAATAGGTATGTCCAGCTGTCTAATAACAGATATAACATCAATTAGCGTGATACACTCCTAATATAACTCAACAAAATCTATTCTAACATACCTCATTATCAACCCAATCAATTAGAATAATATTTCAGTTGTATATAACTTTTGTATTTAGTGTGTTTCAATTTTTATTTTTACTGTTGCATTCATTAAATTCAATATTTTAGTTATTCCTAATACATGTTATTACTGCTGTATTCAGTATATTTCATTGGTTGTATTCACTATATTTCTATTTGTATTCGGCGTATTTTACTGTATTTTAAAATTGAATGTATTCACTGTTATATTCGGTTCTATTTTAATATTTGTATTTAATATATTTCAATATTTATATCATGTATTCATGCGTACTGTATGTATAGTATGCATGAATACAAGTGTATTTAGCTGTATTAAAAAAATACAGACCTTTAAAATGCATAAACACAGGTAAAACAAATGTGTTTATACAAAAATATAATGTGTTTGAGTGAATTTATACATAATACGATGTATTTGTATCATTGTATGTGACTAACTAGCAAAGACGAGAAGAAAGTTCGTCGGAGATGGCGTTTTCCGGCCAAGACTTCTTGTATCGCTTCACTGCCTCTTCCATTACAATTTACAACGCTTCCAATTCGACCGCTTCTTCCTCTTTTCTCTCTTACTTACCACGCTAAGAATCCCTTTTTCTCTTCAATCTCTCCGTCTCCCAAGGTATCTCCGCTTCCTTTTTTTGATTATAGGTTTACTTTCATGTTTCTGATTTTGATATTTTTAGGCTTTCTTTCATGATTTGTTTCTCATTCGTGTATCTATGATTCAGCCTATTTTGATCGAAGAGAGAGAGAAAGAAGAAAAGTTCTGAGAGAGAATTGTGTGTTAATTGAAAAAAAGAGAGAAGGAAAACATAAATAGCGTATTTCATGCCTCAATTGTTAGTATATATCATAAATACTTATTTTGTAATAAAATATAAAAGATAACTATAAAAAATAATATTTTAAAATAATTTTAATTTATAATAAATATGATGTATACAGACTTAAAATTTCCTATCTATAATTTTCCATCATTAATTAATAAAGAAACCCACCGCCGCTCTACCCCATTAGGAGCCATTCCAAAAGAGTGTTTCATTAACTGATCATATGCTCTCTTATTTTTCTCCCAACTAACAAAGACAACATTCAATTCAATAGATAGTTTAAGAAAGAATCATTTTTGGTTTGGCGGCACTACAACTTCTACCATTACATTTTTACTGTATCAAATGAGCTTTTTTATCTTTTTGGTTTTTCACTAGCGATATCTGTTTTTTATCTGATTAATTTAAATTCGTACCAAAAAATTCTACTTTAACGATAAAACGGTCCCCACCAGATGTAGTAAAATAATCTAATAGGTCTACTACTCGACCCTCATTAGGTAGTTTTCTTTTTCTTCTTTTGAGGAAAAAAGATGGTAAGGGTAGAAATTGGAGTTATTTCTTTTTGAACATTTCACACAACATTTTATGTTTCTAAAATTTTCTTAAATTAGGAAAATGTTCTGAAGACTTTTTAAGCCTTCCTAATAGCTTGTTTGGCCAAACTTCTCCAATCCTAAAAGCATTATTTTTTTTTGGGCAAAGGTCCAAATATGCCCTTATACTATACGAAATTGAGCACATTTGCCATTCGTTAATAATTTAGATCAAATATGCCCTTACCGTCACATAGTTGGTCCATATATGCCCTTAGAGTTACACAGTTGACCCATAAATGCCCTTTTCGAAACGGAATTCACCCAAACTAATTAGTTCTTTCGTTAATTGTATTAAAGTGTATTACAAACACTATTTCCTTTTTATCAGTACTTTTTTTTCTCTACCTTTCTCTTTTCTTTCTTTTTTTTTTCCTTTTTCTTTCTCCCTTATCCGTTTCCTCCATTACTGATGTCTTCTCCATTTTCGTCACCAATTTCACTTGACAAAACTCATGAATTTCAATTACTAAGAAAATTCTCCCATAAGGTAATCAAGTTCCAATTTCACCGGCCCTCTAAATAAACAAAATTAAATTATCCAAAAATTATGGTTTAAACTTTAAAATAATAAAAATATCTCAACCTTTAATAATACTCAAAAGATCAAAATATTTAAATTATTTTCACAAAGATAATTTAATGATTAAAAGCCTAGAGTTCAAGTTGTAGTGTTATAAATTTGAGTTGTTAGTCTTTTTTCATCTTTTTTTAGCTGGACATTTTTTATTTTATTTTATTAACTATGTAAATTAGGGGTGTACATGGAACGGGTAGGTTCGATTTTTATCAAAACCAAACCAAACTAGTTATATCGGTTTGGATTGTTCGGTTTTGTTAGATTTTTTGGGTTTTTTATTACATAAATATTATTTCAATCTTACTTTGTTAAATTTTTTATAACTAAATATATGTTCAGTAAAAATTAAAAAATTGACAAACATATGATCTATAAAAATATTATTATGGGAGAATTTTCTTAGTAATTGAAATTCATGAGTTTTGTCAAGTGAAATTGGTGACGAAAATGAAGAGGACATCAGTAATGGAGGAAATCGGATAAGGGAGAAAGAAAAAAGAAAAAAAAGAGAAGAAAAGAAAAAAGAAGAAAGAAAAGACAAAGGTAAAGAAAAAAAAAGTACTAATAAAAAGAAAATAGTGTTTGTAATACACTTTAATACAATTAACGAAAGAGCTAATTAGTTTAGGTGGATTCCGTTTCGAAAAGGGAATATATGGGCCAACTGTGTAACTCTAAGGGCATATATGGACCAACTATGTGACTGTAAGGGCATATTTGAGCTAAAGTATTAACGAAGGGCAAATGTGCTCAATTTCGTATAGTACAAGGGCATATTTGGACCTTTTCCGTTTTTGTTTTTTAAAAAAAGTGCTTATTTTTCAAAGTTGAAGTGTTTGGCCAAGCTTTAAAAAAATATATATTTTTGAGGAGGAGCAGAAATTTTTTATTTTTTTTTCAGTTTTTACAAAAATAATGCTTTAAAAAAAACTGAAAAATATTTTCTAAAATAATATTTTTGTAAAAATTGAAAAGCAATTTTCTAAAGCAATTAAAAACTGAAAAAACTAAATTTTTTTAATTAAAAACTGAAAAAAGAAAATATTTGCTTTTTCAGTTTTTACAAAAACATTGCTTTTGAAAATTGTTTTTCAGTTTTTACAAAAAAATTGCTTAAGAAATTATTTTTCAGTTTTTTTTAAAGCAATATTTTTCTAAAAACTAGAAAAAAATATCTTCGATTTTTTCAGTTTTTAGTAAAAAAAATTCAGTTTTTTCCAGTTTTTACCAAAACATTGCTTTAGAAAATTGCTTTTAAATTTTTTTTTTCGGTTTTTACAAAAACATTGTTTTAGAAGATATTTTTCAGTATTTTTAAAGCAGTATTTTTGTAAAAATTGGAATAAATAAATATTTTCTTTTTTTCAGTTTTTAGTAAAAAGAAATTTAGTTTTTTCCAATTTTTTTTTTTAAAAAATTGCTTTAGAAAATTGCTTTTCGGGTATGGGTAATGTGTCTTTTTAATTAATTAGGAGATATTTAGAATTGGTCAACAGGACGATGACACGTGTCCCTCCGTTTAAATGAGGTGTATATTTGAACCCAAAGTATCACTTTATGGGTATAGATAATCCAATAGTATAACGAGGGTTATTCTTAGATTATTTTCGAAAATAATGGTATATTAGGACCTTTGAGGTTAAAAATATTACGGAGAATCTCGAACATATAAATGAGTATATTTCTAATTAAGTAGCTGACTCAGATCAGTAAAGGAGTAACTAACAACTTCAAATAGTTGGTTATGCCACCTAGGTAATAGCTACACTTAAATGTATCTCTCGACTTCTGTGTCCATTTGCTGTTTTCTAAGTCCTATAAGTATTCTTCTGAGGCAACTCTTGATTTCTTAATCTTTTTTTTTTTCAAAGAAGATACAGTAGAATATTTCATAGTTTATTTATGAACATAGATTATTTAAATTTATACTCTAAACAAAAACCCTGACTTCTATCATGGCCTGCACGACTGCATTCACTTGAACTTCAATTTTCCATTTGCAGCATCAGAATTTTAGTACATCTGAGCTGTTTTTATCTTCTTTTCTTTTATATACTGTTTGTCTTTTTGTGATCTTCCAAGAAAAGTCAACGCCTTAAATTAGAGTTGCTTCTGCCCACTTCAGCTCCTCTTTGTTCCTTTCTATTCTTCATTCTTATGTTTCTTTCATACTCCATTTGAGAAAAATCTTGAAATTTTCAGCTATTTGAGTATTCGCCCAACAAAGTTTGCATTTTTTTTATTTTACTTTATTTATTTCTCATATTTATCTGCATGTTCTGAAATGGAAGTTTTTGAAAAAGGTAGAGTTCAATCTTGTTACCATTTTGGTATTTTCTTGGCTTTTGCATTGTGTACTGAAGATCTGTAGGTATTTGTGTGAAGAATTATGACGGAGTTCAAGAAAGAGAAGACGGTAAGGTAAATTTTCAAGGATGTTTCCTTTATTTTCTGTTTGTCATTTCTGATTTTTGTTAATAGTTCTGAGGATTTTATTAGGTTTTACAATGATGGGAAACAGAACTTTGAAACATCATGGGAGAAGAATGAGAACCATAATCTTGAAAAGCAACTACCTTTGTATAAGTCTTGTGAGGGTAGAAATGTTGTTGACAAAGTTGGAGCAAGCAAGGTTCCCAAATTTGGAAATTTGAAGGTTTTCCCAGAAAATTATGTACAAGAGAAAAAGAAAATTCTTGATCCAGGGAGTGAAATAGTGATACAATGGAATAGGGTATTCTTGTGTTCTTGCTTGCTGGCTTTATTCATGGATCCATTATTTTTTTACATGCCATCAGTGGTGAAAAGGGGCAAGTCCTCATGTATGTCAATTGACTTGAATCTTGGCATTATTGTCACATGCTTTCGGACAGTCGCCGATATATTCTATATGTTACATGTGGTTATTAAGTTTAGGACTGCCTATGTTTCGCGAAGCTCGAGGGTATTTGGTAGGGGTGAACTTGTTATGGATAAGAAAATGATTGCAAGGAGGTACTTGAAGTCTGATTTCTTCATTGATGCTATTGCTGCTCTGCCTCTTCCTCAGGTACTTTAAAGGCTCTGCTGCTTCATTGCTAAATTTAGCTCAAAATCTGTAGTGCCTTGAACAGATAATCATGTTTCAAGAATCAAGCATTAATTTTCCTTTTGTATAGTCATTTGTTTAATGAGATTCAAGAACAAACACCCTGAATTAGGCTAGTGAAACTTACCTTGACCAGTGAAAAATTGCTGTTAGGCCGATTGTTTTCGTCAATTTTTAACAGATTTATGAACTGACTTAAAAGGGGTCTTTTCCTGGATTCAAAGCTCATAAATAATACATAATGTATTGATTTGTGGACTTAATCGACCTGTTACAGTAAATATTTTGAAATGAATTAGGCCACTGAAAGAAATCAGTGAATTTTACATATGTTTGATCATCAATTATTTTCACCTAAACATAATTTTGTGCATTCCCTGCAAGGCACAGAATTTCTTTTTGGTTATTCATGGGAAATATTAGAATGGATGTTGATGCTAATTATCATTGGAAGCACTTACATTACAAATCATGAGAATTCAATAAGCATTGGAAACAATCCATCTTCATATTCAAAGAGATAGAGAGAGAGAGAGATACAGAAACTTGTGGATTTAGCTTACTTTTTCTTTTGCAGATTGTAATATGGTTCATCATACCTTCAATTAGAAGCTCTCATTCCGATCATACCAACAATGCTCTCGTACTAATAGTCCTTCTGCAGTACCTGCCAAGACTCTATCTGATTTTCCCGTTGAGTGCTCAAATTATCAAAGCTGCCGGGGTTGTCACGAAAACAGCTTGGGCAGGTGCTGCTTACAATCTCCTACTCTACATGTTGGCGAGCCACGTAAGTTTAGACTCAGTAACACTCTTATCTTTCTCCTTAAGTTTAGGTTTACTTGCTAGATCTAAATATAGATAGCAACAGTTTTGAAGTCTTTGTTACTGCTATTGGATAGTGAATCAGGTTCTTTCTTTTTTCTAGGTCCTAGGTGCTTCCTGGTATTTATTGTCAATTGAGAGATATGCTACATGCTGGAAGATAGCTTGCAGAGAGGAGCTCAGTCCTATTCAATGCTCCAGTCATTTTCTCGACTGTGGTACTATAAATCATGCAGACAGGGTAACATGGGTAAACAGCACCCAAGTTTTCGGAAACTGCAATCCTTCTAACTCGACCATTTTCGACTTTGGAATATTTGCAAATGCAGTTACAAACAATGTTGTCTCCACCGACTTCCTTGAAAAGTACTTGTACTGCTTGTGGTGGGGTTTACAAAATTTAAGGTATGGTTTCCAAGATTACCATTTATTCCAGTGCTACTATTATTTTTGCTAGTCAAGCCAATTTCTCTAAGGGTTATCCAATTTGAACTTGAAGTGAGATTTTCAATTGCATTCTTAGATATCTCGAAGGTCCAAAATGGTTTTTGGCATAGGGTGTTTAAGGTGTTATCTTAATCCGTTATTCATATAAGTAATGATCTCTGGATTTATATATTAAATATCGATCGTATTAAGTTGTACTATGACTAAGACACTGCTTACCTACTGGAACAACAAAAGCATCCGTAAAAAAATAAGGAAAACATGGCAAACCAAACCAGCTTGCTTATGGTGGACGTTTTGAAAGAGAGGAATTTCCAATGTTTTGTGAATAGGAAAGAGCTAATTAGCAAGATCAATTTTAACTTTATTCCTTTACTTTCATTTTGGTGCACAGGAGTTTAGTGAAGACGCCGATAGCAATTAGCATCATAAGATATTTTTTAGCTCCATTCAGAATTAAGGGAATGTATTCTTTTGGTTTGCTCTGCACATATTCAACACAATCTTGGTGCTGTTCAATTAATACACCTTTACCAATCAAAAGAAAAAGAATTACTTACAACTAGTATAGTTTTGGTAATTGCAGTTATCAGGAAGCTGCAAAATTTGTTATTTGCTGCAGCATTGCGAATCAGGGACATTGAGCACTTTGTTTTTTGATCTTTTTGCAGTTCTTATGGCCAGAACTTGTCCACGAGCACATTTATATGGGAAACTTCATTTGCAATTCTTATTGCTATATTGGGGCTAGTTCTGTTTGCTCATTTGATTGGAAACATGCAGGTAAAGTGACAAACCTTATCTTAGCTGATTTCACATTTGAAGTCCTCATAGACTACTCCTTTGGATTTTGGTAAATATTGGACTCTTTTTCTTACATTTTTCCGGTAAATGTAGATTTGGACCGGTAATGTTTTTAAGTTGTATGATTTGACTTCAGTTCTTTCAGAAAAACCATATCATCTCAGGGTATTTCAAATTTTTCATTGTTTCTGCAGCTACAATAGAGAATGCCTCTTTCTACTTTTTCGAAATTGTGAAAATGTACATTTCATTTTGCAAAACCTATTCTTCAGACATTTATAAGTCTAACTGCTCCCCTTTATCATTGTAGACATACTTACAATCTATCACTATGAGGCTTGAGGAGTGGAGGCTCAAGCGACGAGACACTGAAGAATGGATGAGGCACCGACAACTCCCTCAGGATCTTCAAGAACGTGTCCGGCGTTTTGTACAGTACAAGTGGCTTGCCACTCGTGGAGTTGATGAAGAATCTATCCTGCATGCTTTACCTTCAGATCTTCGTCGTGACATCCAACGCCACCTATGTTTAGACCTTGTTCGGCGTGTAAGTCAATCTCTGTGTTCTCTCGTTGAACTTCAAACTTGTAACATCAATAATTTATTTGAAACGATTGTTCAATACTTGTCTTTTGTTACTATATGAATCTCAAACAAGTTATGTATTACTATTATTTCTGCTTTGATTCGCAGTTTCCGGTCAAATAGAGGAATTTGAGTTCATTTTTTCCTTTTTTGGCAGGTTCCCTTCTTCTCACAAATGGATGATCAGCTGCTTGATGCCATATGTGAACGTCTGGTTTCATCGTTATGTACTCAAGGAACATACATAGTACGTGAGGGTGATCCAGTAACTGAAATGTTGTTTGTTATCAGAGGAACATTAGAGAGCTCGACCACGAACGGGGGTCGGACGGGCTTCTTCAACTCAATTACTTTGAGGGCAGGTGACTTTTGCGGTGAGGAACTTCTTGCCTGGGCATTGTTGCCAAGATCCACTCTTAACTTGCCTTCGTCGACGAGAACAGTGAGAGCCCTATCGGAAGTAGAAGCCTTTGCTTTACGAGCAGAGGATCTCAAGTTCGTAGCCAATCAATTCAGACGTCTCCATAGTAAGAAGCTACAGCACACTTTCCGTTATTACTCTCACCACTGGAGAACTTGGGCTGCCTGTTTTGTTCAAGCTGCTTGGCGTCGTTTCAAGAAGAGAAAGCTGGCCAAAGATCTTAGTAGGAGTGAGTCCTTGTCTTATGCTACCGAGGATGAACAATCAGCAAATGAAAGTGAATGTGAACATGAACATGAACATGAGGATGATCAACAAAAGAAAACTAAACCAGCTAACTCTTCCAATGTAAAGCAGAACCTTGGGGTAACAATATTGGCGTCAAGATTTGCTGCAAACACAAGGAGAGGAGCTCAGAAGATGAAAGATATGGATTTGCCAAAGTTACAGAAGCCCGAGGAGCCCGACTTTTCGGCTGAGCCAGATGATGACTAGCTCAACTCATGCCAGAATTGAAGACCATCTCCCTCTGGTGAAATTTACAGAACCAAAAAAGCAATATAAAGACACTACTACAGTTAATTTAAAGAAATTTACTCAAGTTAAACAAAAAGAAAAAGAAAATAGATACAGGTTGTGCTGCAGTTGATTATAACCATCACTAGACTCTACTTGTAAGTAGAAAAGGTCAAGGGAAATTAAAATGTGAGAAGACTTAAAAGAAAAACAGCAATTGTAGGCCAGTGTTTGTTGAAGAAAAACAAAAGGATATGTTTTATGTGTCAATCTTTTGTTGGCAAACTTAGATTTTAAGCTTAGTGAACATGTACGTTAATGTAAAATGATATGTAAACTAGTCAAGATGATATCAACTGGTTTGTCAAGCTCTACACAATTATTTTTCACTGGGAATCTAATAATTGAATAGGGGAAAAAGCACTCTAGAGTAAATAATTTCAGATAAGTAGAAGTAAGGCGAAAATATAAGCAATATACAAGATTAGGCAATGTTTGAAATGTTAACATATGATAGATGATAGGATAAAATGAGAGAATTGTCTAAGATCGCAGGTGGATGTACATGTGCATCTGTAGGTACAATAATATGATGATTGAAAATAATAAAATGAGACGAGGTAGATCTAAAACATATAGAGTCAAGTTCTCTTCAAAATCCTAAGAATCTCTCGAGATCAATATATAGTTTAACTAGGAATTGTAGGCAATGTCAAGAAAGAGTTCATGTAGGCGACATCATTTATTTTATTGTGATTAAGATTTAAAAGCTGTTATTACACTTTTATCAGGTTCAACGTATACTCTAGTAAGAGATTTACCTTTCCGTGTATGGGTAGCTCAGAAACTCTTATTACGCTTTAAGAATTGTTATTTCTAATTGGAATGAAATGAATGCAATTAAGAGCAGAAAATACACATAGGATTTATATAACCGACCTTACTAATAGCTTGAACGGATTTATATAGCAGATCTAGCTAATTTGAGACTGCGACGTAATTAATTAATTGGGAAGATTTCTTTCCTGGTTATTTAATCTTCGCTACAGGGATTGAGAATTAAAAATATATCGTTTTGATCCTTCAATAACAGATTTTCTTGGAAATTTCTGAAATTTGGTGAATCTAACTTAAAGTACAAGAAGGGATGAATTGTAATTCTTTTTTAAACTTTTGTGTCCTTTAGTCAACTACTCTATCAGTGTAGTCGACTACGGTACTAGTAATAACAATGCAGAATAATAAATTGCAATAAAGTAAATTACACAGCGATATTTTATACTTGTTCGTATTCTTTGTAAATCCTAGTCCAGTCCCCTTGGGTTGCAAAAGGGTTCTCTCTAATGACTCTTTATAGAAAATTATTACAAGATGGTTTTGTGACTTCTTCACACTTTACTATCTTCTTCTATCAGATTTTGATACAATGCCTCTCTCTCTCTCTCTCTCTCTCTCTCTCTCTCTCTCTCTCAGTAAATCAAATAAAATTACAATGCTTGCTAAGAGTAGAACAAAGAGCTCGAGATTGGTTAGACGATAGTATATCTTGTTATGGAATACTTCATCTTCTTAAATACACAAAACGGCCCATTAGGAATTACTGAGATTCCGCATATACTTTCCTTGATCTGTTGCAGACAAAAAGATGACAACCCAAGAGATTTGATTCTTGGTAGATATTCCAAGAATAAGGTTGGAGGCTTCCAAGATCTACGCATATATGCTTACTTTCTGGGCTGCAATAATTAAGGTCATACCCGGCAGATGACTCTATCGTCGCTTGATTTGGATCTACATTTGGATCCGCTCCTGCGAATACTGGAGGGTCCAGATTAATAAAATATCGAACTATCACGCTGACCGCTCTATATGAGGTGCCAGGGGTCTGACGATGGGCTTGGAAGGTCACTAGTCGATTCAACAACTGCACAACATTCCGCATGTCTAAATCCTGATCAGGAGCAACTGGGGAGGAACTGGAGGTACATCAGCTCCTCTATGCCCCTTCGGGGATGGTGCTGCTGCTCTAGAAGCCTGAGTATTTACCTCATCATGAGGATTATGATAATCTACATGGGCAGGTGGCACCCGACTGGTGCCCTCCCCTGCCACCTTATCTAGTCTCCAAACAGCCGCCTGTCGTCTAGTAGTAGTAGGCATTGCTGAAAACATCAACAAGATAAAGATTAGGAGATAACACTTACGACTCAGCTTTATCACACGAACTAGATCGGAAAGAAAAGTAACCATCCTAAATATCCTGTGGCCTCTTGTTTATAAGTGTGGCGTACAACACAACCATAAACCAGACTTTACTAGATACGGTTTGCAGAATCCCTAGGAAAACCCTTCTCTAATACTATGTTTGTCACACCCCAATCTTGGGGGGTGTGGACGGCACCCGAAGGCCCGAGCGGACCAACTATAGTATCTAGAACCTCTGACATGGAACCTGGCCAACAAGGCCTCCAAATAACATTAAAAAGACAAGAATGTACAACAACCTGCAAGAAAAAGAGTCCCAACACAATATATACAGATAACCAAGGCCGACAAGGACGCAAAGAGAGTATCGTCAACTAACAAGAGGGCCGACAAGGCCATAACAAAACATATACACATTCAGCGTTAGTATGCAATCCTCTAAGAGTGTTATAGTACATAAATAGGCTAGGATAGGGCCCCGCCATTCCCAAAATACCAAAAATATATACAATAGTACTTATCGACTCCTATATAGCAACTCCGGAGAAGTGGAGTCGACAACCAACAACTGAGATAGACACCCTACTGAGGAGGAATGTTGCCCTGTCTATTTGTACCTACGAGCATGAACATAGTGCCCTGGAAAAGGGCATCGGTACGAAAGATGTAATGAATATCTAAGGTAGGTAACATGTGTAAAAAAAGATATTGTAGAAGAGATATGGGTACAAAAATCAACCTGAACTTAGAAAGAGGCCACTGAGGACATACAACTATTAAAGCCATGCATATATATATATATATGCATGTCTGTAAAACGTTATGCCACTCAATAGGGCCATATAATATAGTATAAAGCCTCTCTGTGGGGCAAATCATATCATAACGTACCCGGCCTCAAAAGGGCTCGGTCGTACCCGGCCTTAATAGGACTCGGTAATGTCAGAACCAACTGTAGCGGTGTGCACATATAAGTTCCATACCCGATTGACTATAACGTGGATCATTAAGAAAATAAATACATATATACGTGCAATGAAATACCTATTGCAAGAGATATCACAATTAGAGTCGGAGTGACCATTTATCATTATCCTCCGACTATCGTTTTTATTGCTACGTTCTTCAACCTTGAGTTAATTATTCTGAGACTTATCGAATCCAAAAAATTATATTTATAGGGAATACACAAAAACATTATCAATTTCGTCAAGAAAAGCTTAGGGTTATTCAATCTTACAACATGAAGATTATTCCAAAGGAATATTTACATCAAGTCATGCCAAAAAGGAAAGTTTCCCTATATACCTTTTTGATGAAGCTAATTACGTTCCACGGATACTCGCACGTCCTACGGGTGATTATCTACATCATATGAATGATTGGAATCAAAATAGAATCAATAACTATAGGTAGCCTTCACTTAGATAATTTTTCAAACACCTTGAGTACATAGAGCTCTCAACTTCCTTAACGATGGTAGCTTAACATCAAGACCACATCTTTTTCCCTACTTATCTTTCTTATTATTTAGCAATACAATCAACCAAATCCAATAATTTAACACCAACATACAGTCTCAAACGAGCAACTCACAACACACAACTAAATTCCAAGTTCCTCCAATAATTTGATTTACAACCTCTAAGTAATAACACTCCTACAACTTGTATAAACTTAAGAACAAGAAGGAGATGATGGAACTTACCTCCAAGCAGAAGAATCTCTCCTTTTTTGAGATCAATTCACTTCCAAGGAGTCTCCAAAATCAGCACAACAAGGAGAAAAGCGACAAGGCGATGACCACAAGATTCTTCACGTTACATTTACTTGGGTTGCCTTTGATTTTGGCCTTGGATCATATGAGAACTGTTAGAGAGGGTTTGGGATTGTTTTGGGTTTGGAAATAGTAAAAAATACGAATAAAAATGAGCTATAGGAATTTGATATATATTTGAATATTTAAACCGTCCTAAGTGGATCCCATAGGGGCTTCCTGTACAGTCTTGCAAAAATAAAAATATCTCTCTCTACTCTAATATTGTATTGATGAACAGTTTGTTGCTCAAGAAAATAGATCATAGACCTTCAATTTCATGGGTGTATCACCCCGTAATTCTTAGACAAGTCTATTTAGTTCCCAGTCCTTTTTTTCCTCTATTGAGTCTCTTTAATTTATTTAGAATTGTTTGAGACTCTTTTAGAGTCAAGTCTAAGATGTCTTGGAGTTTATTGCATTTTTCACAGTCATAGGGTCTTACCTTGCCACGAGCTATGAAACAGTTGTTTGTTTTTTCTTAAGTATCGAAATTTGCTTGCTTCATTTTCCAATAAGATCATAAAGCACAAATTTGCAACTTCTTCATGTTCTGAGCTGGCCTCATCACTCCAGTTTCCAAAGGATTTATTTTTCAGTAAAACTTGATGAGCGCAAAACATACACTTAAATATACTCGCTAGTCGAATATAGTATAATATAATATCGTATCCACATGGATTGGAGTTACACAATATTTTCATAGTTTATAGATTGATTGCTATCCAAGGTGATCAACAATTGAGATTTATGTGATTAAAACTAAAATTAACTAAGTGTCTAACTTATTGACGAATGACGCTCGAACAAAAGTAAGTAAGGAATATATCAATGGAAGAAATAAGGATTGATTGGATAGGTGAGATAAATATTTGAGACTTAACTCTAGTTAATTCACTTCTAATGTTCAAGTGAGTATCGAATTCACTCAATTATTAATTCAAGCATTTAGTAGAAACTTCTCTCTCGATTAAGTCTCAACCTCACAATATGAACCAATTTAAGCTCAGTGAAGATATGCGAGGATTGGTAGTGGATTGGTCTTTAGGAGAATCTCTCTCGATTATCCTCCTAACTAGGTTTAATCAATAATTCAACTAGCCTCTTTCGATTACTAAGAAGAATTAATGAACTCAACCAACAAGATAATGCAACGATATCACAAGTTATGTCTCTCTCGATTACATGAACATGCGAATATAGATGCAATAATCAAATCATCCAAAATGATTCACTACATAAAAATTAGAGTTATAATCCATAAACAAATATTAATACACCAAATCCATCAATCCCTAAAAAGAATTACTCCATAGATATGGAGTAATTCATCACAAAT